CCCCACCCAGAGCCAGCAGGGAGAGGCTCGGGCGCCTGGACTCCGGTTCCCCGTGCCCGCGGCACCCGCGCAGCCGGCAGCCGCACGCCCCTCGCACGCCGGGCCACTTCCTCCTTTGCGACCATTTTCTGGGCCTTAGCGGCTCTCAAACTTTAGGGTGATGACGCGCCGGCAGATTGGGTGAGATTGGTTTCTTCCGCGGCGCTCCAGCCGGTAGCTGCCGGATTCTGGGGCGCAGAGCTCCGAGCCCCCTTCCCCGATAATAGGTGGAGGCGCTCCCACCACCCGGGGCTTTTACCGGCGCCCCAGGACCGGGAGGAAGTGCGTTTCGGTGCTTGAAAAATACCACGTGTTGAGCCCTGTAACCTCACAGGCCCGAGGCCTGTTCCTGCTACTGGCCCAATCGCCTGGGGGAGCCACGGGAACTTAGAATAAAGTTAATATGGTGTTCTGGTGGTGGCTATCAGGTTTTATGATTTCATTCTTAACTTGTCAGTGACTAATGGTTCTAGAAGTGTAAACGTGCTTTGGGGGTTTTCCCCTAGTTGAGGCATTTCTCACTCATTTCTCACTCAGCATGAACAGCAGCGTAGGAGGAGGGGATGTGGAAGATGACCCTTTTGAAGGCCATCATTTTCTCAGGCAATTAAGATCGTTTTGGGTTTTTTGATCAAGTTAATTTCATAGTACTGGTAATTTGTTCAGAATATTTTTTTCCTTTCTGAAACAGTTTCTACAGTTATGAGGGATTTTACTTTAAAATGTTCATCAATTTTGAGTGTACTGTGGACTGGACCGTTATAGTAGTCCAGAATATCTATACATTATTGGGAAAGATTGGTCACAAAGTAACAGAATTAGCTTGAAATTTATGGGGAAAAGATGCAGCTAACCTTGTATTTTTGATTTGAAGTTAAACAGTTGCAGAAAAATCCAAATTTTGGCAAACATAAGAAATATGGCCTGATGAGTTGCCAGGATTTTTCTATCTGGATCAATTGACTAGAAAAATAATTTTCACTTGATTTTATGGCCCAAGTTTGCCCTTTTTCCAGGCTGCTTGAATACATGTCAAGTATAAAATATGAGGAATTTTTTTTGTAGGAAAGGCCATAAGGGTAGGATTTAAAGTTACTTCATTAACAGATCTTGAGTTATTTAATGATCAATTTTTCACTAGAGATTTTGGGGTAGGCAGGCTATTTAGTGACACCGAACCAGAAGTTACAAAACTGCACTGCAGGTTTCTTGCCCTTTCACTCCATAGGCAGTAGCTCCAAATGTCACTCTGTAACAGTTCTTCCCAACTGTGGACAAGGTTTATCACAGAATGGAAGATGAAATAAGATCAGGGAAGATATTTTGGGGGCAAACTAGGGTTGACAGAGAAAACTAGAATAAATTCTAGAGCCTATAAAATGGAAATTCTTGAAAGTGGCTGTTATTCTTTCTAAATTTAACAGTTATAAGTCTGAAAAAAACAATTCTTAAAATTTCTTGGGATTTGAAAAGTTGAACTTCAGGTTACCATGGTTACAGTACACTATTAACAGTCTGTGCCAGTAGACCAGTACTGTAACTGCTCAAAAGAAGGTAGCATCTTTCTACCTTCTATTTATTTCATTTTTATGTATACAAAGTATTCTCTTAAATTTTCCAGTGGTTTTCAATTTTCCCTTCTCTTATTTGTTGCTACATTTAGAGTAGTTTCTGAAAGTGACCAGTTTAATAGGAAGAGGTGACTCATTCAAAAGAAGCTCAAGCAAAGTCAGCTAAAAAACTAGGGGAGCTGAGTAGGTGTGGTCAGTTGATAATGAGCTGACAGCTGATTGTCACTATCTTCTAGAAACTGAAACTTTCATTTATAGAAAGAAGTGGCCGGAAAATTTGCCCTCTCATTAACTTCACAGTTAAATTAGCATGGAATTTGTGAAAATTGGTGTTTCAGGACTTCATTCAAATGGACTGTGTTCGCCCTTGTTAGGGACTAGTTTTTTGTACTTAAAGATACATTTTTCCATTCGGAGTCTGAATTTCTTTAACGGTACAGGTGCACATAATTTGGTCCTTCATAGACTCTGAAATCATAGGATAGTTTAAGTTTTCTAGCACTATCCAGAAATAATTGATTAATCATGAGTTCCCTGAGTAAATAAGTGATCTAAGATAAAATTGGTTTTATATGTAAATAAAGTATTATTAGTGAATTGTGAATATTGTAGGCCTGGTATTTCAGAAATTTTGTATTTTACTAAAGTGAAGTATGCCCCGTTTCACTAGTTTTTGAAGGCCTGATTCACATCTTGATCTGAATGGATAAAGCCTTTCATGTTTTTTACCTTCCCATGGGAAGTTAAGCCATGAATCATTGAAATTCCCCCAGTAAGTCAGGGACTTTTTTTTTTTTAAGAAAATGGACTGTTTTTTTTTTTCCTTTTAATAATACTGACGATGATAAGCAGTGAAACAGTCAGTTTTGCCAAGTAATAGGGAAGAAGTTTAAAATGCTTGAAAATCCATAAACTACTCTGGGTGGTCTGCGAGTGTCTTTCATATTGCTCATTAAGCAGATTGTGAAGGGGAATCTCGGTTTTAGGTTGACTAGGATCAGAAAGGTGCTTTTAATTTCATGGCAGTTAAAGGAAGAGATTGTTTCAGAAATACATTAGTTATCAATAATATGTCATCCAATAACGTTGGGAAATTTGGGGTTTCTGTTATTGTGTTATACAATTAAAATCTAGACTGGTATGAGTTAAGGTCCAGCCATTTTGAAATGTAAAGAGGTAGAGGGACCATGTGCCCAACCATTCCCTCTCCAGTAGTTTATAATAATTTTAAGTTGGATGTAGAAGTTTCAAAATAACGTTTACTTTGAAAATGTCCTTTCTGCAGCGGAGCGTGCTTTGGACACCATGAATTTTGATGTTATAAAGGGCAAGCCAGTACGCATCATGTGGTCTCAGCGTGATCCATCACTTCGCAAAAGTGGAGTGGGCAACATATTCATTAAAAATTTGGACAAATCTATTGATAACAAAGCACTGTATGATACATTTTCTGCTTTTGGTAACATCCTTTCATGTAAGGTAAGCAAAAATGTGACAAGTAAACATACTTACAGTGTTTTAGCTACTTGTAGTTTATTCTTTAAACTAGCAACTATGCTCTCTGTTAATGGATATCTTTATTTCCCAAATGGCTGACAAGTTATCTCTGAACTCTGGAAAAATGTTAAATCAATAGCAAATAATGAAAAATTGGTATACATTTTTCCCTAGGTGGTTTGTGATGAAAATGGTTCCAAGGGTTATGGATTTGTGCATTTTGAGACACAAGAAGCAGCTGAAAGAGCTATTGAAAAAATGAATGGGATGCTTCTAAATGATCGCAAAGTGTAAGTATAAACATTTAATCATACTTCAAATCAGTTTTTAATAGTTCAGATCAATTCATTCATTTTACAGGTAATATATTCTTAAGGAGATAGAGCTAGAGTGAAAATTAATAATACCACATTTTGGTGGATGTTATAATTGTTTTTCCTCCATATTTAGTGTAACATACAAATAACAGTGAACTAATATGATTGGTCAGCATTCAAACCGAAAAGAAAAAGACAGGGGAAGATAGGTATGCCGGGATATAAATAAAGCTTTCTAAAATAAGTGCATAGGTTGGAAAACCAGGAATCCAGGCAGAAACTTAATCATAATTCCCAAGGTAGTGATTAGTCCATTTTGCATTCAAAGCTGTGGCTGAAATAATTTGCCTGTATTTACGTGCTGGTATGACAGATAAGCTGGGATGCAAACCCAGTGGTCTAAATTTAGAGCCCATGGTGACCCTTGGCTGTACTCCCACAGTTTATTGATGGTAGTTTAAAGATTGTTGTTTCAACACCTTTTGGCACCCTTCCCCATGTAAAGATAAATTGGGATTAAACCAGAATGGTTAATCTTTCCTGAAGTAAACTTGTTCTTAAAAATTGCAGACTTAAAATCATGGCACTGATGAAACCTATAAGGCTGATTCTGCTACAGGTTGTAAAAATACAGATCTTATGAGCCCAAAGAAATAACAAATCTCAAATTTTTTATCCTCACAACCGGTGGACTTTGCTTAATTATCTGAGCAAACTCAGCCGTAAAGTCTTATTGTAAGCAATATGTGACTTCATGTTCTGTATGAACTGCAGTGATTGCACACAAAGTGGGCTTGGTTCTTCCAAGTCAGCTACATCACTCTTCAGGTGTGGTTCTTATAAACCGCTGCATCAAGTGGTGTGGTCAGTCCATACATGAAGAAGTCATGCCCATGGTGTTAACCTGTTTGAATTCTATGTCTGTTGCATGATTAAGGAAAGACTTTGTAATATGTAAAAACTCCGTGTAGTCTAGGAAAACCAGCAGCTCCTCAGTGTGAACAATGTTTACAAAGGCTAATTCTTAAAAATAGTACATCTTTAAATGAGGGGAATATTCAGCGTCATAAGTATTTCCAGATGAAAATCTTACGACTGTTGGCAATGCTTTAGAATGGAAAAAGATTGAAATAACTTGATTCGTTGTTGTTTTGAGTATAAAGTTATAAAGCCCTTTTGGAAAGCAGTTTGTAGGTATAAACTTGAGATCATTTATATACCCTTGAATGCTGTTTCTGCAGCTCTATCCTATGAACAAATACCAAAGTCTCATGAAGTTGCGGCATTATGTACAAGGCAGAAAGTCGTGCTGTCCACTATAGAAAATAATGTTTGCATTGAGAACATTTACAAAACTAATAATGTGGGAAAGTACTGCCATATAGGGTGTGGGGTCAGGAGTTAAGGAAATAAAATTATGGGAATCTCCTGTGATAAATTGTGCTGAACTAGTGTTCTTAGACACAGAAAACAAAACAGTCTATTAAAAGTCGGTCATGATTTGGGTGGGAATATGAGAGGGTTTTTTTTTTCCACTTTGATGTATATTACAATCTTTAATGACACATGTTCTACTTTTATATTAGGGAAAAACCTAAATTTTTAAAACACATTTTGTTGATAATGCTGCAAAGGAATTTCTTCCAGGCTGTTGTGTGATAGAGTAGAGAACCTGATAGTTTAAATTTCTATTTTAGAAGATTGCAAACAAAGTGTAAGAGCCATGTTGAAACGGCAATGATGGAAAGCCTTTGTATCTTCTCATTGGCGTGCAGGCGTACACCCACTCGTGTACTGATGGACAAATCTCCTTAACCCTGGTTAGCTAAAAGGGAAGGAGAGGAGTGTGTATTAAGAAAAGCTTTATGTGATTGTAGTTAAGAGGTTTGTGCTTACATTTGATAGTTTCATTTCTTCACTTAAGGCCCTATTTCTGTTTTATAGTGCGCTCTTTATTAAAGATCTGAAATTATCAGTAACTATTACAGAATCAATGGTCAGTCTTAATTAACCTGAATGTCATAGAATAGAACCTAATTTTATAGTTCTTACATATTTTATTAGATTTGTTGGACGATTTAAGTCTCGTAAAGAACGAGAAGCAGAACTTGGAGCTAGGGCAAAAGAGTTCACCAATGTTTACATCAAGAATTTTGGAGAAGACATGGATGATGAGCGCCTTAAGGATCTCTTTGGCAAGTTTGGTAATGTGTCTGAATTAAATTTTTATAGTCAGTTCTGAGTAATGCTCAACATTAAGTTTTGGCTAATTTATACTAAAAAATGAATGAGACTTAACATGGTACTTTAAAACATTTATAGTTACTTGGATTAAGCTACTGATAGTCCATTATACTACAGAGTAGCATATAAAAGTTCTATCCAGTTTAAAGGTTAATAGCACAGTAAGGTATCACTGTAATTGAAACAGATTTTTAAAGGTTTTGCTGTGTTAAATTGTGCTGGGTTTTATGCACCTACAGATCCCATCTCATCAGAGGCATTGCTTGTGACAGCCAATGTAGGTTGGAATGTAGTCTTTAATTATGGGACAGGATAATTGTCCAGCTTTAGGATATTTTGGCCAGTCTCAGCATCACGTTTGAGCAGTTTTTTTAAGTGACTTTCAAAGACAAAGATCCATATTTTCCAGTGATAGCTCCTTGGGATGGCCTTTTGAATCCATGGGATCTTAAACTGCTCTTTTCTTGAATTTCAGAGTAACTTCATTAAACTCTAGTTATGTACTTGATCAGATGATGAACTTTAAAATTGTGGTCTTGCAGATGATTTGCTTGCCCCTTATCCTTTGCTTTCCTTTTGAACTTAAGCAGGTGTCCTTCTTTTCCTTAAGTGTTTCAAATTGTAAAGAATTAGGAAATTGATATTTTTCTGTTGTCAAGCTGGCATGCCACATTGAACCCTCTACTTTGAGCAAAAAATTTCAGTTTGCACAAAGATAAATTGTATAAGATGAGGAAAATAAGTGACATCATTTCTTGCATCTTACTCCAAATAGTGGCTGCTGGCTTTTGTATATTTCATGTCTTGTTTCTTCTGTTTTAGTTAGAAGCTGTTTCTAAAGTTGGATTGTTAACTATCCTTAATGAATAAATGCTGTGTGGGTTGACCATCAATACGCAGATTTGTCAGATATTTTCTTGGCTGTTTTCATAGCCAGTTGGGAAGTTTAGCTTTAGGGCAGAGGCACATTCAAAAGAAACAGTATCTGTTCCCATATATCTTGTAATTTCTCTGTAGTCATGTGATTTTTAACCCTTTTCCCCCCACCCACCTGAGATAGTACCCACTTCAGTTAAGTCTATTTCACTGACAGAGTTGGGGGACGATGTGTCTTCAGAAACATGCCACTCCCTGCAGGTGATTCTGCTGTGTCTTCCTAACGGGCAAACCCTGTGTTTCCTTCTACTCCCTGTTGAAAATCAAGTGAGCCAGGGCTCAAAACCTTGTTAAAGAAAATCAGACTGTTTTAAAATAAGCCATCTGTTTTGTGCTAGTGCTAAGAATAAAACTGCATCTTTTACAGTTGTCTAAAACATACCTCCTTAAATGGAGGAATGCTTCAGGGAATAGAATGTTAGCTTCTTAATAGAGAGTCTTTAAGGAGAGTATTCAGTGCCCATTGTTGGAGAGGGTGGTTAGAGGAGGAATAAATTTCTGGGGGCTTGGGATTTTATTTTAATCTCCATTTTTATATTTTTCATTAGTTTATATATTGAAACTTGAACTGTATAAACTAAATGTTGTATGGAGTATCTTTTGAATCATGTGAAAAAAAATTTTTTAGGACCTGCCTTAAGTGTGAAAGTAATGACTGATGAGAGTGGAAAATCCAAAGGTTTTGGATTTGTAAGCTTTGAAAGGCATGAAGATGCACAGAAAGTAAGACTTTAAATTTTAAAATAAATGTATTTATATATTTATTTAAATGTAAATATATTTTAAAATATACTAATCAAAGGCAGTGTGAGTTTTCTGTATTTTATAGTAAGAAATGGGTGGTATAAAGTTGAGTTGCTCTTGTATTGAAAGATACTTGCATACCAATGGCTATTCTAAATGTTTGTCTCAATGTGTATTTTGAATTACTTGAATCTTATATATTAGTCTTGAGAGTGTAAATAGGGAATCTATACTGTCATAAAACCTGTTTATTTTTGTGGTGGGTCCATCTTCAGCTTTTATAATCTAACAAATATCCTACATTGTTAAAAAATGAATTTCTGTATTGCCAGTTAGTAATTAAATTTTTTGCGATTTCTGTAAGGCTGTGGATGAGATGAATGGAAAGGAGCTCAATGGAAAACAAATTTATGTTGGTCGAGCCCAGAAAAAAGTGGAACGGCAGACGGAACTTAAGCGCAAATTTGAACAGATGAAGCAAGATAGGATCACCAGATACCAGGTTCGTTTTTTAACTGAAGAAGCAAAAATAAGACAGAGATGACACCTATTTTATGTTCATTTCAGCTACTGCCAGGTAACTGGGGGGTTTGAGAGAAGAAAAGGAGAAGAAATGTGGGCCAAGCATGGGATAAGCTAATAGGAAGTGTGTTTCAGTACCACTGTAGTTCGCTTTTTCCTTTTTCTACAGTTTTTTTTTTCCTCTTTTTTAGGGTGTTAACCTTTATGTGAAAAATCTTGATGATGGTATTGATGATGAACGTCTCCGGAAAGAGTTTTCTCCGTTTGGTACAATCACTAGTGCAAAGGTAAAGCATATGATGTGCTTTTTTAAGATTTGGGAAAAATCCGTGTACATAGATGAATTTGTATAAATTTCATATTTTGTCCTGGAGAGTTTTTCTTTCTTTGTAAATAAATAGCCAGATAGTTTTTTCTTCCCTAAAAAAAATCAGTCTTTCATTTTTCAGAAAATCATGTTTTTGTTTCATTGCTACAGAAACTTATATTCAGATTTGACTGGGATGTTGTAGCTGATTTATTTTTTGAAGATAATGAATTCTGAATTCTTTCCTGAGGAAGGCTGTGTTTAATGACCATAGTTAGTAATTGATCATTATATGATATGCACGGTTCTATGCTCTGTTAAACTAGTTATTTTACTGGTTAAAGAAGGCAGTCTGTTAGGGAACCATAACTGTTTCCATCAGGTTAATTTATGTTCACTTACACAATTCATTCTGGGGAGTCAAACTTAAAGCCCACTAATAGTAAAGACAGAGCTCATATACTTGGTTTATTTGAAATCAAAAGTTAAGAAATACAGCAGTAAGATTCTAGTTTAAATTCTGGAATTTTGATGTAAGAACCTCTGCTTAGGTGTGTTTTTCTGGTGACCATGGTCCAGGAACCCTTCTGTATATAAAGTTTTATGCATGTGTATTTCGGGGCGGGGTTGGGAAGTGTGTCTAAAACTTTAACCAGATTCCCAGAAGAGCACAGGAAAAATTAAAACGCAGTGCTCTGGAATGAATGACCTCGTGGCTTATCTTTTATCTGCTTGGCAACCCCATTGACAGAGGAAACTTCTACAATGGTGAGGAAGTATTGTCGGCACAGTAGAGGAATACACCTAGAAGTGAAAGTGATGTAGTTGTCCTGTGTTTTATTCAGCCAGTGCTTTTGTGTGATAGTATCTATTCCCGAGTGTGTTTATTTCAGTATGTTCCCTGAAAATCATTTAAATTGAATATTGTCCATCAGTTTATTTCAAATGTATGCAGCACGTGTGTTTTACAAAGAAGGGTCTTTATTAAGTCGTTTTTGAGAGGTCCTTTGGATCATAATATCACTGTTGGCAAGGAGGTGAAAAATTTGGCAAGAATTTATTCTGGAGGAGGAGGTCATTATGGTAATTTGATAATGTTTGCTGAAAAAAACAAATTTATCAAGGCAGAAGGGTAAAAAGTAGAAGGTGACCCCTCCCTTCTTCTTTTTCAGTCTCCAAAAGTAGTTTGGCCTCCCCAGATATTTTCCATGCTTGTGCAGTTCTTGTGTACATCTAAACAGTTTAAGGATCATAGTATACATATTCTGCAGTTTGCCTTTTAACTTAACAGTAGATCTAGGTACATACTAATTTCAGGTGTTTCTCATTTTTTGGCTAAGGGCTGAATAGTCATGGTATAGATGTACCATAACAACTCTACTGTATCTGTGTTGTTGAGCGTTTGGGTTGCTTCGCATGTAAGCACTGTTAGACCCACATGCTAATAAATATCCTTATACATATATCTTTGCACACATGTCAGTATTTATGAAGTTCTGGAATTGAAATTGCTGGTTAATGGGTATGTGTGTTTAAAATCAATACGATTGTCCAAAAGACTTAACAAGGTAAATTACTACTAGCTCTGTCAATTTAGTAGAAAATGGTATACATCTTTTTAAATAAGATGTGCTTTTCGTGTGTTTACTGGGTTTGCCTGTTCTTGACATGTTTTTGTATTGCATTGGTTATCTTTATTGATTTGGGGAGAATTTCACGTCAGCCCTATGTTTTATATTGCAAGTATTTTCTCCACATCTTCCACTTAAGATTTTGGGGTTCTTGTGTCATCTTAGATTTTCCCCGTATTTTTGCATTTTGTTTTCAGATTCAGAATCTGGCAATTGGATTTTTTTCAATGAGATATGAATAAGAGATCTAACTTAGTTCAAAATTATCCCTGTGTACCATGTACTGGATAGTCCAAAGTCTGTCTTTTCCTCACTGTTTTAAAGTGTTAGCTTCAACATACTAAATTCCTATAATTGCATGGGTTTGTTTCTGGACTCTGGTTTTTTTGTTGTTTTTGGGTTTTTTGAGGGTTTTTTTTGAGATATAACTGACTTAAAACATTATTTCAGGTGTATAACATAATTGGTATTTGTATATATTGCAAAGTGATGGCCACAGTAAGTCCAGTCAACATCCATTACCATAGTTACAAAAAGTTTTTTTCTTGTAATGACTTCAAAGATCTATCTCTTAGCAGCTTTCAAATATATAATACAGTATTATTAACTGTAGTCCCCATGTTGTACATTATACCCGCATGACTTATTTTATACTTGGGAGTTTGTACTTGTTAGCAACCTTCACCCCTTTCCCCCAACTCCCTGCTTCTCTGGCAACCACCAATCTGTTCCCTGTATCCATGAGTCCAGTTTTTGGTTGTTTTGATTCCACATTTATGTAAGATCATTGGACTCTGTTTTTATTGCTGCTTGGTTTGTCCCTGTGCCACCAGCATGCTATCACGGTAGCTGGATAGCATGCTTGTGTGCATTGCAGGGCTAGTGACGTCTTTGCTTCTCCTCGTTGCTTGTTTAAAAGATCTTCACAGTCATTGGAAGCTTCCTGAATATTGTTTATGTTCTCAATATTTATAGCCCTTATGGTCCTGAATGTGAAATTTTTTTTTAAATGTGGATCTTACAAAGTTCAACCACTTTCCCTTCCTCTAAAGAGTAATAAAGCATCTTGTCAGCTTGAATTGCTAGAATAGTCAGATTTTAATTGTGTTTCTAGTGGTGCTTAAGTTTAGTAGGCCTTCCATGTGCTTAGAAACGAAACCTTAATATTGAAAATCGATTGACCTGAAAGTTGCTATTGTACCTCCACCACTTTACTTCCTCTTTTGCTTGACTAGGATCATGCATGCATGTAGTTTACCCTTAATATTTTGGTATTAAGGGAAAAACTATGGAAAACATAATGAAAGCATTGACAGAGTTTAGTTAAATGTGAGTCCATGGCTAAAACTGACTAAATAGTAATATTCTCCCTTCTGTGCCTCATCCTACCATTGCATTAATCTTTTTTTCTCTTTTAACAGGTTATGATGGAGGGTGGTCGCAGCAAAGGTTTTGGTTTTGTATGTTTCTCCTCCCCAGAAGAAGCCACTAAAGCAGTTACAGAAATGAATGGTAGAATTGTGGCCACCAAGCCATTGTATGTAGCTTTAGCTCAGCGCAAAGAAGAGCGCCAGGCTCACCTCACTAACCAATATATGCAGAGAATGGCGAGTGTAAGAGCTGTGCCCAACCCCGTAATCAACCCCTACCAGCCAGCACCTCCTTCAGGTTACTTCATGGCAGCTATCCCACAGGTAGGTTTTAGAAGAAAACGAATACCTCATGCAGGTTTTCCTATTCGGTCATTCTAGTATTTTGTGCCCCCCCCCAAAAAAAACTAATAAAGCCTTAGGATGAAAACGTTAAGACGTGAATTACAGTTAGATTTGGAAAGGACTTACTGGGTGAGGATCTGCTAGATGGTTTGAGAACGTATAATTGGTTGCATTATTTGCCTTTTTCTGAGGCTGATACATTTGCTTGCTTCCTGCAGACTCAGAACCGTGCTGCATACTATCCTCCTAGCCAAATTGCTCAACTAAGACCAAGTCCTCGCTGGACTGCTCAGGGTGCCAGACCTCATCGTAAGCTCTTTTTTTTTCCCTAGGTTGTGAAGGGTTTGGACTAAAAACAATACATGAGGCAAATTTGCTGTTACATCCCCACAGTATGTTAACTGTTGCTTTTCATAATTTATGGTTACAAGTGTTCATTTTGGGGATCCTAACATTTTGTATTTTGAAAAGAAGCATAAAATGCTTCACCATTTCTGTCTTATTTTGAGAGAGTAACTTCAGTGCTGGTTTGATTTTCCTTTATGACAAGTTTGAGAATGCATCCAACTCAATTTTGTATTTTTAAAACAGGCAGTAGTTGTAAAGATCTTATTTTACGAGGACCAGGGTCCAGGCATTTTCAGCCTTATCCTATGGAACAATGCTGTATTGCAGAACACTTGAGGCCAGGTTCATGTATTGTGTTCAGCTATTAATAAGTACTTGTTTTTGTATGAATGTAAATTTTTTATTAACTGATGCTCTGATCTGATAAGTCTGGGGGAATGGCAGATATAGGAGGCTAAGGTTTTTTAAATGGTATTTATATTTGATCATTTTTAGCCTTTTGTGCAAACCTCAGTTCTAAAAAAGCAGCATGAACACTTTTGGTGAGTTTTTCCCGTTAACGTGCATTCATATCTTTAAATGTAGCATTCCAAAATATGCCCGGTGCTATCCGCCCAGCCGCTCCTAGACCACCATTTAGTACTATGAGACCAGCTTCTTCACAGGTTCCACGAGTCATGTCGACACAGCGTGTTGGTGAGTCTTACCTTAACCTTTCCTGTAAACGTTGGTCTCCAGTTTGAAGTAGCAAGGTGAATACAACCTTTTTTCTTCTCTTTTTTTTTTTTTTTTTTTTTTTAAAGCTAACACATCAACACAGACGATGGGTCCACGTCCTGCAGCTGCTGCCGCTGCAGCTACTCCTGCTGTTCGCACAGTTCCGCAGTATAAATACGCTGCGGGCGTCCGCAATCCTCAGCAGCATCTTAATGCACAGCCACAGGTCACCATGCAGCAGGTGTGGGTTTAATGATTTCTTCATAAAGATGTCAGTCCTTTATCACAGTCAGACATTGAAGACAGCTATATGATACAAGAGAGATTAAGCTAGCTAGAACATCTTGTTAATTGAGGTCTCGTTAATTGGTAGTATGTAAAAATGTCTTCTATACATCAGACTCTAGGAACTAGACAAGCATTCAGCAGTCCGCATCCTGAAGTACTTACGTGACTTGAAAATTTTGTTTGGCATAGTTAGAAGGAAGGGTGAAATAAAGTTTAGTTTGTGATATTTGGCTTACCCTTTTTTATTTGAACTCTGGAACTGAGACTGTCATTGATCATAATAGAAATATGGTTCTAGAGTATATTCTAGATAAAAAAGAAAAGTCAGTGTCTCATGTGTTCATAATATTTGAGCACTTAGCTCACCCAGCTTCTGTTTGTGTTCAGATAATTGTCTTTATATCCAGTGATTTTGCAGTGATGACTGTTTGTACTTTAAACTTAGGAATTTTCCTATTTTCTTTCTAGCCTGCTGTTCATGTACAAGGTCAGGAGCCTTTGACTGCTTCCATGTTGGCATCTGCCCCTCCGCAAGAGCAGAAGCAAATGTTGGGTAAGGACCTTTGTACCACCCAGTCAGATAGGAAGACACTTGCACCTAAAAATGACACCTGGGGTGGCAGGCTCTGAATTGGCATGGGTGATTACACCAGTTTGCCTGCCTAATTAATTTAGAGTCTAGAAAGCTATTAAAATGTTGCCTTTGATGGATAGGTTAATAGGGCATTACTTGCCATGATGGAATCCCATCACATTTTTGGAAGAAGGAATCTGAAACAGATGAGTAAACCACTCTGATTTTTGTCTGAGCACAGATTTAACACTTTAATAGTAATATAGCTTCCTTTTTTTTCTCCCCGGCAAACGGATACTGCCAAGAATTAATTGCCTTGTGGTGGATCTTAATCTGTTTTATAACAGTCTTCTTATGAAAGATACTGAAGTGGTGGATTATGGGTTAGCATTTATTTGCTATATATGAGATTCTTAAACCCCAGTTTTAATATGGTAGATGCCTTAAGACATTTTTGATTGAAGGAGTTTTTGAATGTTTTTGTTCCTAGGTGAACGGCTCTTCCCTCTAATTCAAGCCATGCACCCTTCTCTTGCTGGTAAAATCACTGGCATGTTGTTGGAGATTGATAATTCAGAACTTCTTCATATGCTCGAGTCTCCAGAGTCTCTCCGTTCTAAAGTAATTTAAATTCATCATTTATCTGGCAGCTTCTTAACTACACATTCTTTTATAGAACATTTATAAGTGTTTTTATACAAGCCATACACAGTTCTAAGAGTTTTATAAAATATTAATTATAAATCCTGATAATAACCTATGGTGCTATTACCCCCACTTTATAGGTGGGGAAACTGAAGCATAGAGAGGTTGGATAATTTGCCCTGTGCGCACACGGAGCAACTAGTGAATGGCAGGGCTTGTCTCAAATCCAGTCTCTAACTCCAGCGTCCACGCTCCCTTATCTGTGCTGCTGCTTTATCGGAGGATGGGGATATTTGCTGCTATTTCTCAACTTTGGGGGATTTTTGGTGGGGAGAGAATAAAAGATACAAGAGGCTCACAATTCTAGAGCAGTGGTGGAATGGAACACGAAAGATAAAGATTGAGTTGGAATGTTTTTTTAATAACAGTTCTTTCCACTTTCGTCTGAGAAAAGGAGTTTGCCTTTGTTGGCCAATGTGTTGTCAGTTCGGAATTACCTTTTAATGACTACTTTTGAGAACCAATTTGTTTTCCTGTTTCAGGTTGATGAAGCTGTAGCTGTACTACAAGCCCACCAAGCTAAAGAGGCTGCCCAGAAAGCAGTTAACAGTGCCACTGGTGTTCCAACTGTTTAAAGTGAGCCTTCCCCCTGTGTTTCTGGTTTGCTTCATCTATTTTAACAGTTTGAACATATTTTGAAATAGAGCAACATCTCATTTTACCATTAATCCAAATGTATTGCTAATTTTTTTCAAAGAGAAGTACAAATACAATAATTAAAGGAAATTTTACCTGTTATCCTGGGGGTGATGCTTTCAAACGTTTTGTATAGTCATTTGTATCAGATGTCTTTAACGGGGTCGGCTCTTTGCATAGCTTATACATTTTCTTGGGTGGCAGCAGTGACAGTTGCCTTTTGGCCTGTATTGTTGCTATGTGAGAGCAGCCACAGCCAACACGTAAATAAATAGAAATGGGCTGCAGACTGATTTGGCCAGGGGCATTACTGCTACCAAGCCAGTACTGGTCCTCTTATTTTTCTTCGACATAATACTATGCAGATTTAAGGTATGCAATAATATATAAATGTATGTATCACTTATGTAATGATCCATTCTTTTTAGTGGTTGGGATCATTAAGTTTTGTCTCAACAAATTCAGTGATCATAATCTTTTTCTTCCCCGTATTTACAGATTGATCAGGGACCACGAAAAAGAAACTTGTGCTTCACCGAAGAAAAATACCTAAACATCGAAAAACTTAAATATTGTGGAAAAAAAACATTGCAAAATATAAAATAAATAAAAAAAGGAAAGGAAACTTTGAACATTATGTACCGAGCAAATGCCAGGTCTAGCAAACATAATGCTAGTCCTAGATTACATATTGATTTAAAAACAACAAAAAACTACAAAAAATAGTAAAATATAAAAACAAATTAATGTTTTATAGACCCTGGAAAAAAGAATTTTCAGCAGAGTACAAAAATTTAAAGCATTCCTTTCTTTAATTTTGTAATTCTTTACTGTGGAATAGCTCAGAATGTCACTTCTGTTTTAAATAACAGAATTGATAACTGAGCAAGGAAACGTAATTTGGATTATAAAATTCTTGCTTTAATAAAAATTCCTTAAACAGTGCACAGTGATTTTATGCTATTTTATTTACCTTTGTAGCTGACCTCCGTAAATAGGTGATAAGCTGAAATTGGCGTAAGAACCTCTTTCATGAGAAAGGTACTGTTATTTTTCAAAGACGTGTCAGTTTTATGGAAAAGAAGCATGGGACAATTCCTCTGTTGCATTTTCTGAATTTAGATTTCCATGTGAATTTTTGAATCAAGGCATGTATTTTTTGTTAAATGACCTTAACATCTTTTGAGGTGATGCCAGTTTGACTATATGTTGTTTTCTAGGCTGTCAAGGTAATTAGCTTAAAGCCTCATTTATGTGGTATAAAACAGTAACAATTACTCTATTTGTTGGAGAGGAGGGTGTAGGTAATAATAAAAATTATACCAAAGACTAGCTGTATTAAATGTACCAAAGTTAGGATTAGTTTTAAGCCTTACTTTTTAAAAGACCTTTAACTTGATAGTTGATGATTGTGACTTATCTCAGTCTAATACCTTATCCAAAGTACGTCTACATCTGGAGAATGGATTTAGAAGATCAGGACTGGGGCCCAGGGCCCAGGACATCTGCATAAAACAGATACCCCTGGCTTTTTTAATGCACTTTTGAGAATGGTCTAGTTTTAATCTCTGTTCCATTCTTACACACATACACTACCAGAGGCAGGTTTCTAAATTGCACATCTGATTATCTAATCACCATGCTAGAATTCTCTCAGTACTAACTCTTACCTTTGGGAGCAGAGAAATCCAAGTACAGCCTTGGCTGTGACAGTGGCAGCCCTCCCTGCATGATGAAGCCTTACAATACTCCTGTTTCTGGAGTGCTTTTCACGTCGGCTTCTTTTAAAACTTGGGAGACACACAAGTCTCACCTGGTACCCCGTGGCTTGAATCGGTGCACCTGGTAGGCATTGTAATGATCATTTTGTATTTTGCCTGACCGCAGTCTTGCCCTTTAAGGGGCCGGCAGTTCGTTGAGATAAAAACAATTTTTCTGAGTCACCAAGAAAGCTTTCCTCAGTGCTTTAGAAAGGCAGAGAAGTAATATTCTGTATCTCTTAAAATTTTAGGACAAATGGTTCAAGCCCTGGTTTTAAAGGAGCAGACTTTGTAGATACAGCTTTTAAAGTGTCTTAGACTAAAGTTCTTACGGTTGAAAACCATTCCAAGTCCAGTGTTGCAGATAGGGTTTGCACAGACAGTAGCTGGCTTTACATTGGATAGTTGGAATTTGTATTTCTTGTGTGATAAAAACGAAGATGCACCGTCTCCATCTGTTTTTGAAATGTCTGTTTTCTTAGAGGTAGCAAACTGTTAGGAGGAGCCAACAAAACTACATTGTAATTGATTTAGGAAAAAAACAGTTGATCTTACTTGATTCTGTGTTTGCAAATCCAGCTACTCACTAAAATTTTTGTAACCCCCGAAGTCAGTGCAAAGAATAGATTTCAGTCATTTGCAAACACGCAGAGAGCATTGAAAAATTTGTGTCACCTGAAACGAACGTGTTTCCCAGCTGAATCAAAAAAGCCTGCCTTATTTTATATAAACAAGTATCCTTTTCGAAGTCTGATTAGTGCCACATCCTTAACAGTTTTGTGGGTGTGGGTGTGGGTGTGTGTGTGACAGACACAGATTATTTAAGTGGCCCCCAAATCATACTGTGCTGAAGGCTGTGATGTCCTTTGGATAAAATGTTAGATAAGCTTCATTTGAGCATAAGTTGCAGAGCTGTTGGCTATGGGTTCTGTGTTTAATACATACTAAATAAGGTGTCATTAGAAACACATAAAGCTATGTATCTATTGTGAAAATGTGACAGGCTTACAGGTACGAAACCCTGTTATTTCCCTTAGGGCCAATGAGTCAGTGTTTACTAATTTCACTGTTAGCAAGACTTCACAAAACATAACTGCCACAATTAACGAGAACTGACTAGTTGTATCTGATAAACATATGGCTCATAGTCTATAGTTTATTTTAAACCATCCAGCTTTGTGCAGCATCTGAGATGAAGCAGAATAAAGCAGCAGACACTACTACCACAGCTTACGAGGCACATGTATGGCTGCTTCTATTGGAAGATTTGAGACAGACTAAATTGAAACATTTTTTCTGTGGGTAGTAGGTATAATGGCCACTGGGAGACTGCTTTTTTAGCCTAGAATCTCCTTTTCTTTAGTTCAGCACGTACCTTGTGTGGATGAAATAAGCTACAGTGATGTGCCTTGTTTACAGGGTACTACCTTTGATTATGCTTCTTTCTGTCCTGTCAAGCTAATGGATCACAAATGAGTGACGTTTTGGAGAGTACTTTTAAATTCGCTTATTCTTTTGATGTAAAATTATGGTCCCTATTCATTTGCAGTGAGTAAATGACTTTGAATAGGATCTGGATACTGGTGTTTAGTATGTGCATTCTCCCTGTAAGACCAGTTCTCATGGAGACAAAGTAAAACCAGAAGTTTGGCTCAAGTTGGAAGCAAGGTGGGTGGAGCTGGCCAACACAGTGGCCAGCACCGTCCAGCTGTGATGGTCCAGTGCATGCTGCTCTGCTGGAGACCAGTTGGATGGATTCCTGTTTCCCTCTTTCTAGTGACCCACTCTTGTCTGAATATAACCTATCCCAGACCATCTAAATTTAAGGGTTGTTAGTTACTTTGATACATCTCAGATGTCACTTTGTGTTCTCAATCACCTAGTTACAAGTGCTGTGTATACACACGGTAGTATATGGGGGTGACTCAAATTTTACGTGTTGCTTTTTTTACCTGTCCACAATCATGGCAAGTTTGGGGGGATTATCTATAAAGATAGAAAAATGATTTATTTACTGTTATTAACAGTGCCCCCAGAAAATGTGAAAAAACATAGGTTATTCATTAGCCTGCAATAACATTCTGTAGAGAAAAAGCTCTTCACATTACAAGAGTACTTTTTAGATTCCACAAAATAACCGTTGATAAGGTATATATGAGCAGATGGATTTGTGATTGGTGATGGGGTTTTGTTTCAAAATAACCCCAGCCCCAAGTGAAGTAAGTGTGGTGCTTGGAATATTTTATTCTCATTTTCAAATTGCCGGGTAAACATACCAGACTGACATTCTAAAGTATTTTGAATATGTGTCATCCCCCAAATACTAATATTTCCCAAACTACTGAAATCAAAGGCATGACCATTTTCTGAAGTAACAGCATAAAAGTTACAGTAATGTAAAATGAGTCAGATGCTAAATACATCCTTTCAATCTTTAAACTTAATAGTTAAATAGATCTAATTTTTTGTAGGTAATCACTTACAAAATGTTGGTGATTATTTACAACACCATCTGTCATAGGAATGGGGCTCGTGTGCACCAGGAGATGGCAGTTACGGGCACCTGTGAACAACAGGTATTCTTCAGACAGGTGGGGCATTGTTCAAAACAATTTTTTTTAAACATTGAAAAGCTTGCTTTTCAGTATTGAACATGTGCTACGTGTTTACTTATCCAGTGAAGTGTTTTACAGGCATTATTTCATTTAATTCTTACAACCACCCTGTGAGATTGGGTCAATAACACATTCCCATTTTACAGCTACGGAAACAAAAGCTTCAAGAAGGTTAGTGACTTACCCAGAGTCACATAGTAAGTGGTGAAGTTGGGATTTGAATCCAGATCCTCAGGCTCTGCACTTCATGCTGTTAGGCTTTGTGTGAACAGCCTGTGAACTATGAAAAAGTGAAGTTCCACAAACTCTCAAGTAATGGGGCTACCTTCAGCCTAGGGCTGGGAGACGGAATGACAGGTGTACCGAAGCACAGTGGTAGTAAGCCAGAACAGATGGTTTTCTGTTGTCACATTTTAGGACAGTCAAAAACTAAGCGAAAGAGAAAGTCATCACTTAGAAAAAAATTTCAAATGATGTCTTTAACCAAGCTGAGCTTAAAAATTCTAAATCAGAATATTTTCCCTTCTTAGCATCTTAGATTGCCTTGGAATCTCAGACATTTCCTTCAGCAACCCTGTGACATTTTTTGAGCTTATTCACATTCTCATTCTAGGGTCTCAGAATTCACAAATGGACTTAACTAAGACCTTCTAATTATCATAAGAGTTTTTATAAAACTTGTAGAATTAACCTTCTGATCACACATTGTACTTCTTTGCCAGTTAGGAAGATACCGATCTTTTCTCAACAGCTATCAACAAATACGTTAGATAAAATGCCAATTGCTGTTGCCAAAGAAGAAATTTTCAACAAATTAGCTACGTTCTATTTAACTAACACATACTGGTAGTAAGTGGCAAAGCCAAATCTACAACTCCAGTCTCTCAGACTCCAAAATCTGTGCTATTAACTTTCATTTTGTTTTAGTTTAACTTTTATTTCTCTTGCTAGTCCTTTATGCTAAAAAAAAATCCAACAGAAGGAATTCTTTGTATTTTCTTTACCAGTTATATTAATGGATATTAATTTTAAAGGACAGTTTTGTTTTTTTCCTTCTCATTTAAACTTAGTTTTCACTTGGTCTCAGATCACTAAAGTGATGTCAGAAGAATCATGGTTGTCTAAGTCATCCCTCTTTTGTCTCCTTTTATAACAACTAACTAGACATCTGTAACAGAAGTGCCTCTGCACATTAAGGGGCACACCAGCCTACCTGTGCCAAAATTCACAGTTCCTTAGTAAGCGCTGCCAATCGACAGGCTGGTGATCCTGCCCCTTCTCCACCAGCACTTGCCATGATGGGGGTAAAAAGAGCCAGGAGAGTGCAAAACTGGGCAGATACCCATGAGCAAGAGCAAACTGGAGGAAGTTCAGCCTGCCTGAGGGGAGATTCCCGCACACAATCAGAGCAGCGTAGACACAGAGATAAGTTTGGATGCAGAGAAGAGGGAAGCACTCACGAGGGCAGCCCCCTCCCCAGGAGGGCACTGCAAGGGGCTGGGCTTTCGGGTGGTAGCAGTGGCAACCTCTAAGGGAAGTGGGGACCTCGCCCACAGAGGAGGTAGGTGGA